GTGGGAGGTAACAGTGACATTTGTCTCTAACTGTGAGTGGCCGCCTCACTGCCCTCTGACAGTTTGAGAGAACAGAGGCATCTCCGGTGCCTGGGCAGAGCCGTCTTCCTTATATGTGGCCACTGGGTCCAGAAGATTAATGGTCACATTTTAAAAATTCACACAGACCTGGAATCAGCACTAGAAAATACAGATTTAAATTAACAAGGAAAAAGCAGAATCCCATCAAAGGAGATAAATCGTGCTGGCAACTATTGTCACATAATAAAATGTATTCTGGAACTGAAGGGCTTTCATATGGAGCTGTCTGCAGCTTCGTGGCCATGTTAATTGAATAAGGTGCCTGACTGGGGGGAGGCGGGGAATGAAATTTCCCTCAGCATCTGCTCGGCCGAGCCCTTGGCAGCCGCGTGCGGGATGCTGACCTGTTTGTCACGGGACAGCCCTCGCTCCTGCAGGGAGGTGGTGGCTCAGCAGGGGAGGCTCCCTGGGTGGGGGACAATGCTCAGGAAAGTGCCCGAGCATTTGGGGGTGCTCTAGTTAGAATCCTCCCGTTACCAAGCGGATGTTAGAGTATTAATTCATCATTTGAGTCAAGTGGCAGAAATCGTTGGCCTCTGACGGCTGCCCCTTCTTCCAACGGCCCAGGGCCTGCGGGGAGGTCCCAGAGGCCTTCCTCTCTGGGCGCCACGCCAGGTAGAGCCGGTTTCCTGGCGGCTTCTCCTTTCTGTTCAGTAAATGTAATTATTCCCACCTTAGAAGGTTGCTGAGAGGATGAGGCAAGGTGATGTGTGTGAAGGAACCTAGCCCAGTGCCTGGCAGGTGGGTCCCCACCAGACACAGGGGACTAGAATGTCACTTCGCTGAGACTCAGCTGGCTGCAGAGCTCCCCTGACCCTGGTAGGCTCATCCGACAGGCGGAGCCCGGCCACTTCTCCTTCGGCAGGTGACTTCCATTCAGTTCAACCACAGGTGATCAGTCCCTCGGCCCAGCCTGTTCCTTCTCATTAATGGGAGGCCTTAATTGCCTTCTTCCCCACCTCCCCTCCTTTCTGGGCCCCGGAACAGCAGAAGCAAACATGCAGAAGCAGCTTTTGCAGGTAGGAACTCTTCTCCCCGGTGCTGCGGGCCGAGGCCTGACCGCTCTCTGCTCTCAGAGCTGCCCACCCCCACGCTGCTGCATCAGCCGCTATAGCTGGGGTTTCTGGCAGCTTGATTTCAATTCAACCAATACCTATTAAGCAATTACTCTATCAAAGATAGAGAGAGAGAGAGATGTGAGAGAGGCACATCGATTGATTGCCTCCCACACCCCCCACTGGGACCAGGGATCGAACCTGCAATCCAGGTGTGTGCCCTTGACTAGAAATTGAACCCATGACCCTTCATGCATTGGGGTGATGCTCTAACCACTTACCCACACCGCTAGGGTTTGAATCATCTTTTAATTTTACATTTACCGTATCACCAGGCATTGTCTGGTATGAGATCAGAAATCCCCCCCCCCCCCCCGCCTTGTAAATTCCTGGCTGCTGCCGCCACTGACTTCTTGTTACATTATGCCTGTGTTCCTCCATAGCGAAGAGGAGTGGGTGCACGGTATAATGGATCTCCCAGAGTCCTTGACTCTAACTGGGGACACACACATGCAGAATGAAATAATAGAGGCTCACGGCACTTCATGTCCAAGGAGGGCCCAGGGGTTTTCATGGAGTAGGTTCAACACTGGGTTTGGTTGACAAATATTCAGTAATCTAGGGCAGACATTGCCCTAGAAAAGGGGGTACAAAAGCGATGAGATGGCCCTGCTCTTGAGGAGGTCACAGTCATAGTAGGGAGATAGGCTTATACCAAATGGTTAAGTATATTGGGGTACCTGGAGTGGGAGAGGTCATTCAGGCATCCAGCCCAGCCTGGAACAAGCCCAGGGTCGGCCCTACCGAAGAGTGGGTGCTTAGAGGGGATCTTGAAGGATAAGTAGGAGTTTGGAGAGTCCACAGGAATGGCGGCGATTCTAGGAAGGGGGAGCAGCGTGAATAAAGAATCAGACTAAGGCATGAAAAGCCATGGCATCAGCACAGACTCACAAGACTTCCTGTCAGAGGGAGACACAGGCTAGCGAGCTGGGCAGGTGTGTGAAAACGGGGAGAAGGGTGCGGTCAGTCAGGTGGGATCCTGTGGCCAGGAGAGGCAGCGGAGGTCAGACCACGTTGGGTCCAGGGCAGCTAAGGAGCAAGTCCCCCGTGCCACAGAATGATCCCAAAACTATTTGCTTAGAGGGTGGCAGCAGGTCATTTTGGCAGGAACTGTTGAGGACCTGTAAACTGTAGGTGCTGAATAATTGTTTGCAGTTTCATGGTCATCTCCATCATAATTTGCTGCTCCATTTCCACCACTCAGGGCAACGCAGGTTTTTGCCCTCACGTTCCCACAGCCAGGCAATCTTTTAAAATTGCAAATTGGGTCTTGTCACATCTCTGCTTACAATCCTTCTGGATAAAGTCAGGGCTCTAACTGGGCCCTGAGGGCCTCCAGCCCGGAGTTCTGTCCTTCGTTAGAGCTGATGTGTCTTTTGGGGGCTTTCAAGGCTCAGAAATCTCAAGGTGTGGCAGCCCCGAAGCGCACCTGTTCCCTGGCAATCCCCTCATTGGTATAGTCACTATACTATAGGGCAGGGGTCCTCAAACGTTTTAAACAGGGAGCCAGTTCACTGTCCCTCAGACCGTTGGAGGGCCGGACTATAGTTTAAAAATAAACTATGAACAAATTCCTATGCACACAGCGGCAGCAAAAACACCCGGCGGGCCGCATGTGGCCTGTGGGCCGCAGTTTGAGGACCCCTGCTCTAATGGGTGCAGCAACAGCACCTGCCCGGCCAGCTTCACGGTGTGCAGCCGGGGCAGTCCCCCAGCGCCCGTTCTCAGAAGGGCCTCACGCTTGCTCAATGCCCTGCTGTCACCGTCTTGAATTCCTAATGATGTTTGGACCAGAGCCCCACATTTCCATCTTGCACCAAACCCTGCCCGTCGTAGAGCTGGCCCCGTGTCTGCCTCAGGGGGCGGTGTGAGGAACCATAGAGAACTTGGGAGACCCGCACACCCCAGGGCCCGGCGCATGGCAGGCCCTCGCTGCAGGGTCACCTGTCATCATTTCAGCTCTGCTCAACCACAACCGCAGCCAATAATTCATTCTCGTGTTTGCTCAGCTTCATTGAATAAGTGCTGTGGTCAGAGGCATTGATCAACTGCTTAAACCTGCTGCAGCTGCTCCTCACCTCCGGTTTCCCAAACCTGGCCAGGCCAGGTCTCTGCGGAGCTGGTTAAGAATAGATGCCTGTGGCCTGCACCCCAGGCACCCCGAACCGGCTCCCAGGGTCTGGGCTGTGAATCTGTATCGTTAGCAAGTTCCCAGGTGACTCTAATGCCTTCGTCTGTGCCGTGATGGGCAGAACAGAGTTGGGAACCTTCATCTCCAGGCGGAGAACCCAAACCCCTTTCCTCTCTGGCCCTGGCTGAGAAGGTGTCGCAAGAAGCTCTGGCCCCTTTCTCCGCGTGTGCTGCTCCTTCCTTCGGGGCCCACTCGGCACCCAGTTTGTATTCTCCTCCGAGCGGGTCATGTTGAAGGTACTTGTTCCTGCACCTCTATCCTCTGCGGCCTGAGGGCTCCTCGGGGCTCACCTGCACCCTCAGTCAGCATCGCGCACATTCACTGCACACGGCAGAGCGCCCAGTTGCCACGTGTCCATAGTTACGCTGCTGCTTCCCCTGCAGCCCTGGGCGCGCCCTCGGTGCTCAGTGAAGCCCCTCAGCTGGGTCAGCTGGGCTGGTTGGCGTCACCGCCTTCAGTGCTCCCTCCACAACCGGCAAACCAAATGCCTTCACGGCAGGCGTGTCAAACGCCTGCCCGCGGGCCGCATGCCTCATGTATTTGGCCCGTGTTAGCCTTTGAGTTTGACGTGCGTGCTTTATAGCCTTGGCGCCGGGTCCTCCTGGGACGTTCCTGGTCACTCCTAGTCCGTGGGAGCAGGCCTCCCCGGAGAAGCCTTTCTCCCAGGAGTCCCTGCGTATAGTTGTTCTAGGACATCCCCACGTGTGATGTGGAAAAGGCAGCGTGTGAAACGTAAAGCTTTCTTAGGTCGTAGATGCTTCCTCCCTTTTGGAAAGGACTGAGTGTGGCCGGAGCTCAGGTACTGAGCTACTTCAGCCCCCTCCAACCCCGGTCTTACCAAGAAGAGGGAGTTTTGTTGTTGCTGTCCCCTCAGACCTATGGGGTTTTAAATGTTTCTCCTGTTGTTTTCGTCCTGCTTTTCTGCATTTGCTAAAGGCAGCTGACAACCACATCAAATAGGTTATTTGCTTTGATTGGATACTCGTAGCTTTAATGGCCAACACCTGTGCCACAAAAGACATGCTGGTCAATCGAGGGTGCTTTCCTGAGCATCTACTGTGTGCTCCCACCGGAGGGGACACACAGACAAGCAGTTCAGAGGAGCAGGCCATTCCCATCCTCCGGGGTCCGGGGTCCTTAGTTTCCTGGACTCACGTGGTAACCGTGCCCAGCACCTTACTCACAAAGCGCTTCCTGAGCTGCTGTCCCAGCTGCCCTGCAGGGCAGGTGTGGAAGCCGAGGGATGGAAAATGGGACCAAGACACGGAACAGCCGAGGCTCATGTCCAAAGCCTGAGGGTTCTGGGCCCGTTGGTGTGTTTTACCTGCTGGGCAGAGACCTGGACGGAGCTGCCCACCTCCTTGAAGCCCTGGGCGTGCCGTGGGCTGGGAAACCCTTTCTTCCTCTCGGATGCCCTTCCGTGTGGCAAGGTGGCTGCTGATGTCGGGAAACTTCTGAATTCCTCCGGGAACTCCGGCTGGTGGAGGAGGCCTGCTCGCCAGGAGCGCCTACTCTGCGCCATGCTGCTGGGGGCCGCCGATGGCGCCGGTGTGTTCTGCGCCTCGGGAACACTTCCTGCCCCCGTAACCTCCTGTCTCCCCGTCTCTCCCCAGGCACATCTCCCTGACGCTGCCCGCCACCTTCCGGGGCAGGAGCAGCACGCGGGCTGACTACGAGTACCAGCACTCCAACCTGTATGCCATCTCAGGTATGTGGGCCCCGCCAGCGGCAGCTACCGACGGTCCCGCCCCCCCTCCCTCGCCGTTTCCAGGCTTCTGGTGGCATCTGTCTTGCCTCTTCCTTCCTACAAGGGCCCTGTTCCCAGCAGCGACCAGGCCTCCCTTTCCTTTGTGTCACCGCAGCACTCAGAGGAGGGCCAGATACGCAGCATGTTTTGAAACTAATGATGAAAAACAATGTGTGGGTTTCACAAGCTTGAAGGGAGGTTTCCAGAGAATAGTCACCACATTGTTCACCTGCCAGGTCCAGGGCAGGTTTCCCACGGGGCCCGGGGCAGCGCAGAGCTGGGGCCCGGCCCCTCCGCCCGCATCCAGGGCTGTCCGCCTCTCATCTCTCACAGCCAGGTCTGTGGCCAGAGGGTCTGCGGGCGGCCTCCCCCTCTCCCCCACATATGAGTCTGTGATTTCTGAACTCGGCCTTGAAATTGATAGTGTTACCTTGGCAGGAACTTCATCAGTCCTGGTTTTCCTTTCCCCTTCGCCAGGGAGGGGAGCGCACAGCCTTGTTACAGAATTGAGATTCATTAGGTGCCTGGCGGGCGGGTGACTTGCTAAGAGCCACAGAAACCCACAAGCTCCCCTCGATTATACGGGGCCTCCGGTCCAGGGTCTGTCTGAGGGGGAAGTGGCAAATCAGTGCCACTTCCCAGTGCACGCCCTTAATGGTGAGTGGCATTTCGAACACGGGAACATGGCATTCACTCATGTACCGTAATGAACCGGTTACTTAAGAGGTAATCTTTTCTCTAAAAATCGCAACTTCGGGTTACTAAATAGACGAAATAGAACAATGGTGTAATTCGTGTCAGTATTAGTTTTTCTTGTTATGATCACTCCCTAATAGGTTTGGAAGTAAAAGCTAAAGCCAGTTGTTCCATTTCTGGGTGGCACACCTGCAGGGAGAGGCGAGGACAGGGTTGTCCCCGAGCCCAGGGCCTGGCTGCACTCCCGGAGCCAGGCGCCCGGCGGGTGGGGGGACGTGTCTGAGAACAGCATCTCTGGGGAGAGCCGCGCTTGTGCGGGGGCTGGTTCGGCAGAGTCGAGGCAGAGTCCACGAGCATAACAAGGGTGGAAAGACGACCTGTTCTGTGGAGGAGCTAACCGTGTCCCCAGGTGCCGCGGGGCAGAGCAGCTCTGAGATCCAGCGGGAGCTCGTTCGGAGGCACACGTGGAGGCTCAGGAAAGCAGGGGACTCTTCCCTCCAGCTCGCAAATTTTCAGCAGCGAGGGCGCTGCCCCCCTGGCCGGGTTCTCTGATGGCTTTCCCAGCTGTTGGCGCTTCTGCGGAAAAGGGCCCACAGAGCGCAGCCTCCCGGTCTGGCAGGAGCGCCTGTGCCTGGGACCACCGCTTCCTCGCCCGGCTTTGATGAGGTGTTGTCTGGGTTCCTTTCAGCTGTTAGCTTAGCAACACCAAGGTAACAGCCTCAAGACATGGGGGAAGCCATTCGGCAGCTTCCTGTTACATTTATGTAAATGGCAGGCGGTTGGGTTTTATCTTCCAAGCAGAGGTAGTTGAGGCTGCAGCCCAGAGCAGCAGGCAGCTCGGCACCAAATCGCTCTGCCAGGGCCCAGGAATGCTTTGTTGTGAAGCTGCCAGAAATGCCCCGCAGGACCCGCTGGCTCCAGAGCCTGCACGCTCAGCACCGGGCAGCCATGGTGCGGTTGGCAGGCCTGCCCGCCGACCCCGGCAGCCCGCCGACAGCGTGCCGGCTGGAAGGGGCAGAGAACGCCCTCCCCCAACGAGCAGGATTTGGCACTGAGTGGCCCTTCTCAGTTTGGTATCGTGAAGTTAAGGTTTCAGTGGTTTATTCCAAAAACAGTCAAGGCAGAGTGTGCCCTAGGCCTTAGCCCCTGCCCGTTGCCCGATGCCATGGTAGCTGGAGCTCCGCACACGTTCACTGCCGGCTTCAGGGCCTGAGTCTTTGGTGCAAAATCCTGGTGGGCTGGTTCGTGCCTGAGAATATTGGATTAGTTTGCAGTCCTTCCTAAGATAAGTAGATTTCCAAACAGTGTAACTAGAATTTGCAAAAGCAGCCCACATTTGATTTGTATGTGTGGTTATTGAAGTAATATTTACTTAGAAATGTTTTCCCAACGGCATGCCTGAGTTTCACTAAGACATCTATCCATGCCACCTGCAAAAGGAAGACACTGCTCAGAGGAGCTCTGTCCCCAGCACCAGAGGCGCTCATGAAATGTTTAGGGAGGGAGGGAGGCTTCTTGCCCTCTGTGACCTCAGGGCAGATGATCATCCTGATTTGCTGCTCAAGCGCCTGCAGCCTCTGGGGCTGCCACCTCCCATGAGGTCATTCATGTCTGCGAGGTCCTCCCTGTTCGGCAGGGCTCTGCCGTCCTCTGTGCATATCCCGCCGGCCTTTTGGGGTCCTGTGCATTATCTGCCAGAACGTGTCAGCTGTTTGGTGCGGTCCAGCCAGCGGCTTTCTCCTGCGCTCAGAGGTGGTGAGGCTTCGGCTCCGGCTGAAACCCCGAGAAGCTAGGCCCTGCGGCCACCCTGCACCCTGGTCAGAATGGCACGAAGATGCCATCGGTCCTCACACCTCCTCCCCTGGGAACTGCTCCTCGACTATCACAGTGTGCAGAGACTTACGCATAGGATGGGCACTGCTGCTTTTAAATAATGAACGCCCCAAAGAGGTGTGGGTGGACTCTCAGTGGTTGCTAGTTTTCTTTTTACAAATATCTTACCTCTCCCGAAAAGTCTTCTATTTTTGTCCCAAGTGATAGCATTCTACCTTTTCTTAGAGTTTTTTCAGATGCTTAGATGTCTGAACATTTGTTCATATCTATTTCATCTGTTCCAGGAAGATTTAAGGTAGCTCCAAAAATACACGTAACAAAATAAAAATGGGAGTAAAAAGATAAGAGTGAACAAAACCTGGGCCAGGAGCGTAGGGCGCCGCTGCGGGTGGAGGGGAGCCTGGGTCCGGGGCTGGGCCAGGGCAGCTTCCCTACGGACAGCAAGAAACAGGCTGCTGCTCAGGAAGAGACTAACTGTCCTTTCACTGAACCCGCCCCCTCAGGAGCCCCCTAAGGGGCAGTGAGTAGCAAAACTACTGCTTTTCAGTGAGTTTAAAAGGTCCGCCTGAGCCTGGCTGGTGTGCCTCAATGGTTGAGCATCAACCTATGAACCAGAAGGTTGTGGTTTAATTCCCGGTCAGGGTGCAGGCCCAGGTTTCTGGCTCGATCCCCAGTGTGGGGTGTGCAGGAGGCAGCCAATCAATGATTCTCTCTCATCACTGATGTTTCTATCTCTCCTTCGCCATTCCTCTCTGAAATCAATAAAAAATATATATATTTTTTAAAAGTTCCACCTGAATGATCATGTAGGGGGATCCGCTCAGGTGAACCCCAGAAATGTTTGGGAGTTGAGTAAGGCATTTCCTTGTGCTGAGCATCACATACCTTGGGGACTCGAGACCTTGGGGGCCTTCAGGGAGGAGGCACTCCCCTCCTGTCCAGCCTGAGGGACACCCTGAGCCAGGCAGCCTGCGGCACAGGCTTCTGCCTTTCACCGAGGACTGCCTCTGTCCGTCCGTGACCGGTTTCACCTCGTGAGCCGGTGACTGGGGTGGTGGCTGTAAACTGATTTATATTCCCAAGTGAAGAATTTTTGCAAAAGAAAACCTGTTTTTCTCCGTTTTGAAAAATTGACATGGGAGCTTAAAATAGTAAAATTAAGCAAATGCATATTAAAACAGGCAGGTAATCAAACTGAAAATCTCACATACCCCACGGATTCAGGAGGCTGCGCCGAGCAAAATTCCCCGACGCCTCAGTGCGGGAGCCGCGGGGCTCCGTGTCCTTCCCTGTTAGTTGGGGGCAGACCCCCATGCTGACGACATCTTCATTAGTCCATCAGCGTTAGGCTGACCACATACTCATTAACCACGTCGTCACACTGGAGAGTGAACAGCGCACAGTGGCCCCAGACAGCAGCCATCACCTGGAACCGACCCGGTGGGCGCGAACGTGTGCCTGTGTGTGTGTGTGTGTGTGTGTGTGTCTGTGTATTTTTTTTCGGTTTCCTTCTTGATTGCTGGAAAAGCCAGCTTATTGCCTTCTACAACTGTTCCCTCTTAAAAACCAGTCCCCATTCAAGATGCTGACGCCAGGATCGTGCGAGCGTGGGCAAGTCTGAGTCCATCAGCCCATCCGTTTGGCCCGCGGCTCGCGCACGGAGTGGAGGAGGGTTTTATCTGAAACAGAACCGTGTCTGAGCCATGTAACCGACATCAGGCCAGGAAAGCGCAAAGCAATTACAAATAATTAATGATTTCTGAATATCAGCCGTCTCCATGCAGTTTTAATCTAGTCCTCATTTAAATGGGAAGATGGACATTTAATTATCAGGATTATGAAATTCATGACTTATACATTTCATCCAACGCGATAAAATTTCTGCCACCAGCTCTTCATCTTATTATGAGAAGAATCTGTATATTTTAAGGTATGATCCTTGAAAAACGCACCCGCAGCATACCGGGCAGCTGTAAGCATTTTTTCCTTTCACTTATAGTGATTACGTTATTTCTACCTTTTAATTAGGGGAGAACAGTCTCACCTGGAAAATCAAATATAAGCTTAAGACTTTAATGTTCATAAGCGTTGCCGGGTGGGAAGCGAAGGCCGGCAGACGGGAACGGTAGCGTGCCTGAGGAATGCTGTTTTTCTCCGTGGAATCTAACCCATCTGCCCCGTGTGTGATGTGCACGTGTCACGCTGCAGAGCTTGCACCCGTGCTCTGTGTGTGCGTGCCTGTGGCTCCCCTCCCTGTGTATCGGGGGTCAGCTCGTGGGTGGGGTAAGCACCTGTGGGGTCGACAACCACCAGTGAGGGAAAGCCCTTCTTCTGGTGGAAGCCTGAGTCATCCGGCAGCTTCTGCATTCGCAGTATCCCTCTGGCCCTTGTCTGTAGCGGACACATCCATGGGGTCCTGTGGCCTCGGTTTC